AATTAGTGGTCTGAAAAATGTTATTGAAAAAATTATAAACAGAGTGATTTATAAAGCAAACACCATTTTATAGATTAAAATTAAATTAATTTGTGTAAACTATTGTAAATGTCGTTTATTGTGAGAAAAAATTATTCCTAAGAGTAAATTTTACTACAAAATTTTGACTGACCATAACCAGTTATGTATTGTTAGCTTTTAAAATAATAAAATTTTAATATTTAGAAGAAATAAAAAGTGGAGTATTGTTTAAAGACCCCTTATTTTATTATAACAAATATATAAAAAAAATTTCTGGATTGTACACATCACAAACTTAAAAAAGAAAAAATGGGAAGTAATATGCTTAATAAATCGACCTATATTTGATACAGTTGTGTATAGAATAATTAAAAATGTAAAAATAATGTTACAATAATAATAAATAATATTATTTTTCGATTTTAAAAAGCGGTTTAATAAATTCTGATAACTCTATATAATAAATTTGTTTTAGGGTTAATTTTCGGAGCGGCCGTTTCTCATCTGAAGTTAGAGATCTACTGTCGGTTATATACTAGTTCATTATTTTTGTTGTTGTTTATATCATTTTCATTGTTGTTTTTCTTATCAACAATTTTGTTATCGTTATTTGTGAAAAAAATATTATTTATATCTACATATTCTAAGCTTTTAATCTGATTCTTGGTCTAATTACTTCTTTAACTATACTTTTATCCAACTATTTTACAATTTTATCCAATTCATTACAATGTTGTTACCAGTATATTAGGCGTATTTTTACTTTTTAAAGTATTTTTGGCTGATAAGTTATTCTATGGAAGTAGTCAGTAGTAAAAACTTACAATATGTGATTAAAATCTTCCAATGACTTAAATTGGAGATTAATTTCTTTAGTTTTGTTTATTAAGAATAATACCATCCAATTTTTTGTACAGCTGTATACATTAAATTTTGATTTGTTTCAATTAAGCAGTTTATAAGCCACTCAATGAACGATGTTAATAAAGAATAACATTATGAATAAAATTTTGTCTGATCGATTAACAGTTATGTGATATTACGTTTGATACATTAGGATTTAAATATTAAAAAAATATGAGAAGCTTGAAAGTGTTTAGTGCTCCTCTGTTTTTACAATAACACACATATTGGAATTCTTCTACCACTTCACTTGTCCACCACTCCTCCTATAATTAAAAAAATACAGTAACTCAAAAGGTAATGTTATTAAACTAGTTATCGATTAGCCAAATTTACTAAGTCCATTCAACATTTAGTGTTACAAAAATAATTATAGGTTTCCATTTAACTTAAGAAAATTATCGCTTAAAAACTACTTTAAAAAATAATTTTACTATGACAATATGATATTTTTTAAAATAATGGCATGATTTCATCATGAAAAATATGATCATGTCGTCCGTAAGACTTTTTAGGGTGACATAAGCTGATAATGTAGCAATAATTTTAGAAAATTTCATGTTAGAGAAACTAAAAGATATATAAAACTCCGTAGCTTCTAAATCTATACGAAAAAAGTTTCAATAACTTTTCTATAAAACTAACTATACAGGATAGTCCACAATTTTTAGATAAATCTAATAAGTTTTGATCCAGCAAATATTTTGCGTTACTTTTTTTTATATGATTTTTACAGTTTTGGACTAATTTATTAGTATATTATTTATGTCTAATAATAAAAAAAAATTTCAATTTTTTATTTTTTTATATAGAATAAATAAAAATAAATACATAACTGTAAAAATCATTTAAAAATATAATTAAATAACACATAATATTAGTTGAATCTATACTTTAGCTTGAAATTCCCTCAATGTTAAAAATTGTATACTATATATAATTTTTAAATAATAATTAATTTTCCGGTTAAAAATATTTATTTTGTTAATAAATGAGTAAATAAATAGACCATTGCAGTAAATTTTATACATACTAAAGTAAATTTAACTATTACACAAACGCCATCTACTGTTAGATTTTACAACTAATGATTTAAAAACACTTGTGTCTATCGTAAATCAACAATCAACATTTTAAAAAAAACGGTGGTTTTAAATTTAAAAATAATTCTTTTGAGTTTAAAACACCAATTTATGATATGTTGATATTTGTAGTAAAACTATTACACACTATAATATAGTGTTCAGCAATATTATTGACATCATTCACCCAGAAAGATATCTCACAAATAATATATTATTATAATTTTTCTACATAAAAAGATTAAATAATGTCTTATGATTGTATATGATTATAAATCAATAAAGTTTGATTTTGAAGACTCAACTAAATAATATGTAAAGGAATTAATATTAACTCAGTCACGGATCTTTCGCTAGCGATTTTTGAAAATTAACACTAGCAAGTAATAACAATATAATATTGATAAAAGACAAAAGAATCATTTTCTAAATGGCTCATATCGTCTAGAAGAATATCGTAATTTTTAGACCTATATTTGTTCTTAAGAAATGTTTTGTTTTCATTTTTAATTAAAAATCTAATTACGTCACTGTAATTTAATGCTAATGGTGAGTTTCAAAAATCATTTTTCTGCTATAATTACGTTCTTTAGAAGTTAATATTATATTTTAAGAATAATGATTCACTTTTAATTATATTATATTATATTATATTAATTCTATTTGATATTATACTGTAAGAAATTATTTGAATATTGTCACCTTAAGATAATAGTTTTTCAATGAAAATTTTTACACTCTATAAAAGCAATTCTCTATTCAAAGTGATACCAATTTTCATAACTAAATATGTTACAAATAATTGCTAATATAAATAATCAATTACCATAAAAAAAATTAATTTAATAATACAACAAATAAATTAAGACTTTGAAATATTCTTACATGACTAATGATATACGAATTATGATAGATAATTTAAGATAAAACTACAAATTATTATCCAAAATAATTTATATATATATATTATAACAATTAATATTAAGTATAAACTATAAAATTAGCTACAAAAAAAATAATTAGTGAAGTAATAATACCAATTTTTATCAGAAAATTATGAAATACTGTACTTTGGTAATACAATTTAGTCAAAAGACTTTCAATTCAAAGAAATGAAACATTGATTACATAGAATATTTTCATTACTTTCTAGCACTCAAAATAAAATAGTTCCAACTAAAAATTCTAATTTAACCATTGTTTATTCAGTTTAGTAATTAATAATTTTCCATCTTTTATTAATTCCCTAAATAATGAAAAAAATTTAGATAATACAATAAACTATACTTAATATCATTTGTCTCCAATAAGAAAAAAAAGTCATTTTTTATTTCTTATTTTTTTAAAACTCATTATTAATGGTATTTTTGCCTTTCTTGATAAACGATTTTGTTGAGACTATAACAAATTTAGAATGAGATTGAGTTACGAGTATTTTAATAATAATTAAAGTATTTATTACAAATATTTTAAAATACAAGAAAAAAAAAAATTTTTTTTTTTATTTATTAGAGACAAAATAATAAAAAATAATTCAAAATCTTGCAAAAATTATTTTTCTAAAAAGGAATACAAAATATTGCCTTGATCAAAAGTTCGTATATAAATTTGCATATATTCTAAATCCTCTTATACGTAACAAAATAATCCTACTTTCAAAAAAGTACAAAAGAATATAAAATTTAGCTTCAATGCGTGGTTCATTGCTGGTTGATTTAAAAAAAAATTGTCATAGTAACCGTTTGTACATTTATTAATAATGACAATTTTCACTATAAAAACAGTTTTCAACATAATTAGAATCCAGAACTAGAGTAAAAATCGAATCAGAAATAGTTCATAGTGTTGTAAAGTAATAATCAAAAATTATCGATCAAAAATGGCTAAATTTATAACACGTTTAATTAGAAGTGTTAAGAAGAAATTTGGAATAAGAAAAAATATTAAGGGTAATTTTTTGTATTTTTAAACGATTATTAAATTGATTTTGTCTATTTGTAATAAATTTACTTTTTCATTAACTTAATTCTTATTAATGTTATATTTTATTTAGTGACATTAGTAGACAGTGAATCACAGACTATTATGGTGACGGAAGATGTGATGATTCAAGTAGAATGTGTACCACAATCACATAACTTAGTTTCACAAGTTGAAGGGGTTAAAGACGCTACTTCTCAGATATCAATATTATTTTCTGACAAATTTACTCAGACTCACTTTATTGCTGTGTTTAATACGTCTGAAACGCAAACAGACACATTCGATTTGACAAATTGTGGAACACAAACTGATCTATTGTCAAAAAATATAATTTCAAAATCCACGGCAGAACCTCATGAATCAATTTCACAGTGTTGCATCTTGCCAATTTCAAATGATCCTCATTTGGACACTTTGAAAGAAATGTCTTTAAAAGGTATGTTTAATTCAAAATTAAGATACAATTAATTATGTATAGTAATTTTTTAGATTATAATTTCGTTATAAAAATGTTATATTTTAATATTTTATCATATTAAAAATAATCGACATGTAATAAGAAAAATAAATGATTAACATGAAGTTATAAATTAAATTTGTAAAATTACCAGTAAAAAGATAATACGAACCACTTAATTACTCGAAAAATAAGAATAATATTNTACGAACCACTTAATTACTCGAAAAATAAGAATACTATTGATAATTTTTTTCCATCTCTTTATTATAGCTCGAAATTTTACTGAATTTTTTAATGATAAATTATTTTTTTCTTTCATATCTTGTGGTATCCTATAACGATGTCAAATATTTTTTCAAATAGAAATACGCTTAAATAACTAGATTATTGAATAATAATAAAATTACTAGCAAACAACAACTATTTTAGAAATTATTAAAAATTTTAAGTAATTACTGGAGATGAAGAATCGGGACTTCATTTTATATAAAATTTCTTAAAAAATGTATTAGAAATTATACGAAAAAAATTGTTTGTAATTTTTGTTTTAGTTGATAAAGCATCAACTTTAAATTGGTCAAAATCTCCATTGGAAGATACACAGTTATATTCGGTAATTAGAAACCATATATTCAATATTTTTCTATTCTAATTATACTAAATACTTAAATTTTTATTATACATTCTTATGAACTACTAACATAGCTTTTCAGAGAAGACGTTCAAGATGAATAAAGTAACCATAAATAATGTATATTAACACTATTTTTTTGCTTTATAGCAAGATGGTATTGTGGATGGACATAATGGAACTCTAGTCGATAGCAGACCAAAATTATATATGTTAGAAAATATGCCTCAACTCAAATTGACAAATAATTATAGCTATAAAATGAGAGTACTATACTCTCTAAAAAACTATTTTTGCATGACAAAAGTTGTTGATGAACATATCGTAAGGTCTATGGAAAATAAAATGACTGAATATTATAGACAGCCTGAATTTCAAAATCGTAATTACAAACCACAAAAAAATGAACTTTGTGCAACTAAATATGGTAACAAATCATTTTACTTGTAAAAATAGTATAAAAATACGTATAATTCAGAAAGATTTATGGTTCTATGATAGTTATTTAATTAAAAAACTTATAATATAAGTTGATATTAATAATTATTTAATATTTTTTATTATTCATGCAAGTGCTTCATAACACTAATCGAATGATGTCTTATTATACAACCAAAATTGTCATTATTTTCCTGGTAATACTTTTACTACTTTAATTTTAGAAGATGGTAGGTGGTATAGAGGAATTTGTAGATCTGTTGAAGAAAATGTGAACGGAGAAGAGACCTATGTAATTAATTTACTTGATTGGGGAGAATCAGTTATTGCGAAAGCTTGTGAATTACGTAGATTGGAGATGTGTTTTATGAAAAATCCACCTTTGGCAGTCAAATGTACCATATTAGGTATCTATGACAATATTTATTTGTTTGTTCAAAAACTAACAATTCCTTTTTATTTAGACTTCAAGTTATCAAATGACCATAGAAAAAATATTTGTAAACTATATAATAATACTTATAGATGTATCATACATTCAAAACTGGGCAATAATAACTATGTAATATCATCAAGATTAATTCGAAACATATTAAATAATCGAAAAAGTTAATTATATTTTTATAATTGACTTATTTTGTATTTAGAAATAATTTTTTGCTATTTTTATTATGTAATTAAAAAAATATATATATTTTTCTTAGTTTGTTTAAGATAAAGTTGTGCAATTAAAACTATTTTCTATATAATAAATTGTTTTTTTTTTTTACAATTAGTTTTGAGATATTTAAAAATAAAAAGTGATATAGGTACTTTAGATTAATAAAATTAATTGTATTTAGATTTTCGTTTAGCCTCAAGTATTACATATTAATGAATGAATAACATAGTTTCGGATATATTTGTTAAAAATTTGGTAAATTTTACGAAATTTAAATTATTTGTTGCATTTTTTTTATTTTTGGTGTGTTCTTAATGAGAATATAATAATATTAAATCAGTATCAAATACTCTTATGTAAACTTAAATGCACAAAATGTTTTCTTTTGGATAAATTTAAAGTTCTTCTTTAGGATCTTCCTTAATGGATAATTTTTAAATATGTAGACAAAAATATTTGATGGAAAGCTCATAAGACTACAAGACAATTGTTCAATTATAACAACCTCAATCGTGAAAATTCAGAGAGGTAGTAGGGGTATGTTTTCCTCGAAATTTGTGTCATATTATTGCATATTTTAGTTTTGGTACAAATCTTTTGTTTTTTATTGTTCATAAATTCATTTTATATATTATTTCAAACAATGTTAATATAGTGACATTAGACACATTAGCGACCGATCATTTATGTTCATATTGCTATATTACATTTATCATTTATATTGTTTTTTTCTAGAAATGGAATCTGTTAAAAATATATATACATATATATATATATATATATAGTTCATATTGATGTATATTTAAAATGCATACTCCACCCGCAATATATATTTGCTAGGTTAAAAATTATTATAGATGACAGAATAAGGTAAGACACTCTGTTTATATAAATATATTAATAGACCACCCCTACCGTTAACACAAGCACTTCTTTAGCGTTACACAATATAACTGCTACATTGAGGTTGTCATAACTAGAAAAATGTGTGGTATCTCTATTAAATTTTCATTAAATAATTTTTGTATACTGTTTTAGTAATTTGTCCGAAATGTCCCAAAGGAGAACTATACATGGTTTCAAAAGAAAACAAATTGAGCCTTTTTATCTATATGGGAGTATTTGATACTGCATCAATATTATTGGATTCTAAGTATGATCATGTCACAAATAGAAAATTTGAAACTTCCATGTACAGCAAATTTAATAATTCTAACTAGCTAGTGCAGTAACATTGAACAAAATGCATTTAATGTGTTTAATTTTTTCGTATTAATTATATATTTTCAAATTAAACAATTATTGTTTTAAAGAGTGTCATTGATCATATCGATTCATCGATAATGTATTTCACTATTATTATATAATGTTGGCAAAAAGTTTTTTACAGCTTAGTGCGAGTATATTGCACGCAAGACAATTAATTTAAAATATTTTAATTGTAATAAAGATTTGTTGTTAAAATAATTAAATTGAATTTGTATATAACTATTAATCCATTTGATTATCTTTCTTCTTCATAACATAAAAAGAAACGGTGGAGCTTATTTTATAATTACATTATTAGTTTTTATCAAATTACAATACGTACAGTTAATTGGTTCTTTTTTTCCATTGCCCCTATAATTAAGAGGACATCAAGTGCACCATCGGTTTATGAATTTACTCTTTCATTAAAACTTGTATCAATATATTTTGTTATACAGAGTATTATTAAATTGTATTAACCAGATTAACAATTAAGGTTGATGATTATAAATATAGTTAGTTTTATGTTATAGTATATTGAAAATTAAATAGTCGGTTTATTATAGTATTAATAATGATTACAATAACTTGTTATACTAACGTCTCAACTATTAAGGCAATTAGTATCAAATCCAAAAATAGAAATTGAAGTTTCTCAAGGAGGGAATGTGAGGAAGAGCCAAATGCAACTTGACAAATAAAGCAATTTGCAAAAATCTGTATTTATTAAAGATGCATCTAAAAAATTGTGCTATAGTTATAACAAATAATTATTTTAGTATATCTAGTTCTTCATCATGTTACTAATAGTTCTATTGTGAATATCATTGGTTGTGATTTATTCATAGTATTAGTATTTCCAATGTAAAATATAATGTAAAGATATAACTTGTTTTATTATTTCTGTTCGTGGTACTTTATGTGTTGAAGCCGTAATCTCACCTCAAAAATGTTTTCTGAAATAAAAAAAAAGTTGAAGGTTAATTTGTAGTCTAATGTAGATTCTCAGCTTTAATAATATATTTTCATTGAAATTTGAGAGATTATAATGTAGACCTAATAACTGCATACTTTTTTTTGTCTATACTAAAACATTTAAAACTATTTTAACTTTTTTTTTTTTAACGCTTCTCGATCAGTTTCAAATTTTGTATTTGGCAGTTATGTCTATGAAATTAAAAAAAAAAATCTCCAGTATAATCATCTCGAAAACGAAATACTTAAATAAAATATTTTAAAATGTTTTCATTACTTGTTTATAACTAATAGCCTAATAAAAATATATAACATTTAGGGAAATATGCCAACATAGTTCTATACTAGTACAAAACTGTACTGTAGTATAATTCTATAAGATATATATCATTTTTACTATGACATTTAACGAGATAATTTAAGACTGGACCATTCTCACGAAAAACATAAACAAAACGTAGTAATTTATTCAAAGGTGATAAATTTAGACAGCATCATTGCAACAATTATTTTTATAGGGGTTGTATAAATAATTTTATTATCAGCCGTAAATTTAACTATTTTATTATACTGAGTCTATTTACTTTTTAAATAAATACACCAACGTTTCCATCGTACTGTTATCAGCAAATATAATGATCCAATTAAACTGTCCTAGATCACGTGCCAAAAAAAGGTAGTACGTTTACGAAAATTTATGTCTTTTGATGTCTCTAACTTGGTTGGTAAATTGAAAAAATACCAAAAGAACACTGACGTTGTCTTTCCGCTTCAAACGCGTTTCTGTCGTTTGTCCTCACAGACTAATTTGTAAGTCACACTATCCAACATGTGTACGGTCAACGTCTGACGTATATACGCCTATTTTACAACCATCCACAAATTGGGAACAGGAATAGAGACTAGTAATTAACTTCTTATAGAATATCATTGTTTACCACTGGGGTTGGGTTTTATTTTCTTAGGTTTTGTCGGCGTTTGACAAATTGCGCCAAGGCGCTACAGAATGTGCCACGTACAATGTGGCGAACCAACTGAACTTTGGTATCTTAATTAGAAACGTACTAACGTTGAGCAGAAACGCCCATTATTAACGCGAGCTCCCTTTATCCACACACTTAATCTTATAAACGACTCAAGAATCCAAGTGCCCGTGATAGTTTCTTACTAGCTTAGTTAATCGAATGTACCGTCATATGCTAATCGGTTTAGGCATATTGTTAATTATGTGTGAGTGTGTTGTGACTAATGAACCGACCAACAAAGCGTGGGCATTATAATTTAAAAAGGGCTAGGCCAATTTGATAGAATCTGATCCAAATCATCGACTGTTGAATATCGCGACTATACAGTATAATGGAAACTGATGATTTATTATCTATGGACCTTGTTAGTGACTGTAATGTAAGTTATATTGAAAAAACACTTTTACTAAAAAAAACATATTCTCAATTATTAGTTACCAAAATTAGATATTTCAGAATACTAAAAAAGTTACAGGGGAATTCATATTGCGTTAAAATTTAAGAAAATGTAAAATACATTACCGAATTTCACTTTTATTTTAATATATTTGTTTACCTCTTTATAACCGTGATAATTGTTTTGTAAAAGTTTAATGATTACATATCTAATATTTATCTATTTAATGATAATTAAAACATATACAAATATTACCATTTAGTTTGTCTCAAAAAAAAAATAATAACGTCAAGAATAAAAGTTTTTATTTTAACCGTAAAAATGCATAATATGATTGATTATATTTGATTTTTCATATTATGACAAATAGATAAAACAATATAGTGTTATCTCCTCAAAAAAAGTTTGAAGGCAAATTGTAAACTCCCCTCATACAATTTATTGAACTATAGATAAGATATTTAACAATTGAACACGTAGTATATATGATTTATTAATATGACCTTATAATATTAAAAAAATAACGAGTATCCAAAAACGAATAGTTTAAATTCAACACAAAATTATTTATTTCTATACATTTATTTCAAAAACTATATATATATTTTAAATAAAATCGAAAATAATATGACTTATGGTTAAAGTATAGAATTTCTCTAGTACAATGAGGAAGTACTGGGGAAGGATTTTGAAATACTTGAATGGGCAGTAAAGTAGTTGCGAGAAGTTCCTAAAGAGTTCCAATGGGTAGAAAATTTTATGTCAAATATACAAGCATAGGTATTTTCGATAAGGATTTAATGATCTTCCTTTTGCTTACAATAGAAGAATATAAGGAAAACTTTAATGTGTCTGTAAACAGCCCATTTGATTTTATTTTTAATGGTGGGTTACCTTCCTAATAACCTTCCTACTTACTGCCCGTAGTCAACTTTTCTTTAGGGTAGCAATTAGGAACTTTCAAAAGAATCCCAATGCTTCTAGGGTTATAACTATTAATATAGATAATTGATGTTTTATTGTCATTAGTGATATTTTTTTTATTTGATCCAGTATTTGGTCAAGAATGAAATATTACTTTATTTTATAGTTTAGCTTACATTTGCAAGAATGATATTACACCTGCGTATTTCTCAACCACAAACTTCCCGCGTGTGCACATGGTATATCCGGTATAGTGTTAAATAGACCATATCACTATACAGCCGTACTGGAACTCGAAACCCTAGATGGAAATATTATTAAATTTTGTCTGTTTTTTCATATTTCCTAATTGTCTGGGGACTAAGGGACTCTCCCTTTTGGATAACCAGGTGTCCCATAACAGACATGAATAACTGTAGCAAACTTTTGCAATTTGTAATTTTTGGCCTCCCGTCAAAGACAACGTAATCACGTGATAAAGTTTTCTGAGGTTGCATTAAAATCAAAGTCACTTAAGCTGCTATTAAAGGTAAATTAGATAATACCGTGGCTTACTAGTAGGTAAAAAGTTATTTACTAAAATCATGAACTAAAATTATGTTTGTTTTCATACTTACTTATTAATTGATATTCATCATTGTATTATGAATAGCTATATTTAAATTCTTTGACTTAATTTAAGTTGTAACGTTTTATAATTTTATGATGAATTTATCTTACGATTACTTTTGATATCAATTTTACACTGACACAGTTTATTAGAATTTTATTTTCATTAAAATTTGTTAAATGCATTGACTATTAAAATTAATTTACCAAAACTTGTTAAATATTTATAACCTACATGGTCATTAATTTATAAACGCAATCACAACTCTGAACTTCATTATAATTATTTTCAAGTTAAAGTTTACTCGTAGAATTTTGTGTTAACTTGTTTTGATACTGTGTAAGATAGGTGGGACAACGTTCATCAATTAGTATACAGCAGTTGAATGACCATAAAGTATACAAAAACGGTTTTTAGGCTCTATTTAAAAGGCTTCTAAAACAGCATAAAACAAACTATGAGTTGCTACTGTCCAATTATTTCGATGTTCTTCGATGCAATTGGCTAATTGTCCATGTTTGGCGGTCATTCGTCACGCCAAACGATAACCACGAACACAAGATAATTAGACAGAACCCTTTTCCGGATAGGACATAATAACAAAACAAATAATTGTTTCCGAATAGTTAACCCCTTTTATACGGCCTCGGAGTTTTTTTTTATTTTTATTTCATGTAATTTACAGTTATACCAAATAAGTATATCAGTGTTGTATGTTTTGTATGGATTCGTTAATAATTATTTTCAAGAAATATTCTGGCTTGATAAAATATAAAAAGATAAAAGATATTCACAATAATCAGTAATATATTTGCAAAATAATTTTAACATAGATTAAAATTTTACTGAATAATTAGTAAAATAAATGTACAATTTATTCAAATTTTTTGATTCTCAAATTTCATAATAAATATAAAATTCGACGGATATTTATAGAAAAATTTCCAAAATATTAAATATTGTATTACATGGATAGTGCGTTTTATGAAAATTACACTAGAAATGTCACATTAGCTAGTGTATACATTATTTTATAAGTTCTTGTTACAGTTTTTTTTAGCCAAGAAAAGTTAAATAAAATAAAAAAGAATATTTGTGGTTTTACGTTAGAAAACAGTTGGTATCAAAGAATTGGATCAGAGAAAAGAGAGCCAAAACATGGAAAATTTAATGTGCGTACGGTTTATCTCATAAGGAGTATAACAAAAAAGGAAAACTTAATCTAACCAAAAAATAATACTGTTATGGAACGTAAATAACAAAATCCCCTTACCAGACTACCGAGTTGCTTTTTTTTATTTACAACGACTTCATTCGCCTTGTATACATTTTCTTCTCATTCACTTTTATTTAAAATGATAGCTACAGTAAACGTGTACATGAGATTCAGCAGATAAACCGTTTGCCGAGAACAAAAAACTAGTTGAACTACCGCGTTGGAGAAAAATTTGTGTTTAGCGGTAGCTAATTTTACAAGTAACTACTATTTACTATTTTTCCACTAGCACATTCTTTTAAGAACAAAATAATATATTATTATTATTATTTCAGGGAAATCATTCATAACTTGAAATTAATGTTCATATACTACTTAAATTCAAAACTTGTATTTCTATTATTATTATTTGATTTGTTATTTTTTCATCGATAGTTACCAAAAAAACGTAAGTGTATTTTTAATATTGTTACTATAAATTTTTATCAGTGATTCTTATTTTATTCCATAACTATTTAGTAAAAATGAAATCATTAAAGCTATTAAATTAAAAAAATAATTGAATTTTATTATGTTTTGATACACTTAATTTATTGATATGTCGCGTTAGAAGTATTAATTTAAATTTACAAAAATTATTACTTACTTTATAATTTATAAAAATGTATTTGTACAGTAAATTAAAAATAAATGGTAATTATACTATATTCCATGGTTAGTATTTTGTTATAAACTATAAAGGACATTTTCTCTTAATACTTGGATACCTAATACAATTCAATATGATTAAATTTAACTTTGAGATGGATTATAGAGTTTTTTACAGTATAAATTCTATAAGTATATTCTAAAGTAACTCTGCGAAGAACTGAAGTCAACGAAAACATAAAAAGAAAAATTTAACCATCAGTGAAAATAATTATGAAAAAATAGAGATGCACCAGCCAAATAAACTCCTTAGGGAGCCATTGAATACTACTTCGGCGAGTAACTAAGTTTTCATTAAAAAAAAAAAAACTGTAGTAAAGCATAATACGTATAAACAACTCAGCTAATAGGAACGCATTATTATAGAAATGAATATATTTTTTTTTTTTTATGAAGTTATGAATTATTATTATATTGCTACCATAACGCCTCCAGTCACAAAAAATAGCTTTATAGGTTCACCACGAAAATCCATTTAGGATTTTTCGCACCCCATTGACCTCACTCTACTGCGTACCGGTGCAAGGCTGCGACGTCAACATCATTTGGATATTTTGACATATTGCTTACGGGGGCGCGAAAAAAACCGCATGCAACCCTAATATAGTGTAACATTTTATTACCCGGTGTCGCGGTCGGCCTTAAAAATTCACTCGACGCTAATGCTATTTCTTTTAGAATGTTGCCTATTATTTATTACTATTATTATTACTCTATATCATTTCTTTTTAGGCATGCGACGTGCATTCTTGTTCACAAATGCACTTGCCATGTCCTTTTAGACGACCCCAAGTATACCAATAATGTATTATTTTGCCACCGACTAACGGACAATAGTTATAAAGCAAAAAAAAACTGTTCAATCTTGCAGGCTTCTCGGATACTTCATGATAGTGCTATAGAATAACTATAAATCTTACCTAAAAAAGAAATCATATCATTACATCGTTATACATACTCCACATAAACCCACACGTAGGTAAACTAGGTTTTTATCATTTATTTATAAAGGAACAATTTTATAAAGATAATATCTCTATAAAATGTTCACATTCAAACATATACGGTTTTTTTTTTAATTTAAATAACACAAATTTTCTATAAATAAAAAAAAACATGCAATATTTATCGTACGAAAAATAACTTTATTAGAAGTTAATATATTTTAATTAATTAAAATCGTTTTATGAAATGTTAGCTATTAAAATGACAAGTACACAAACTTATTACTATATTAGCATTTTTTTTTTTTTTCAAATAAAAATAAATAAAATGGGATTGTATAGTTTTAAATTATTAAAATTATTAATTAAATAGACAATTTATTTAAGTAAAGCATTAAGTATATAATTAAGGCGCAGTTATTGTTGATTAATTATGAAAATATGTAGGAACCACAATAAAATATTAATATGAATTTTAATTGGTTTTTATAATCATCAACACATATTTTTAATGAACTATTTTGTTTCAAACCGAAAATGGTAGTATTTATAAGACTAGTTTAAAGTGTTAATTTATGTAGAATATTTATCTGATAAAAATAATTTTATTTAAAATAAAAGGTGGGCCATTTTTTTTCATTAGATGCTGTTTTTTCTTGAAAATTTAGTGTATTAATTAAGTATATTCTATGAATAATAATACTAGGAATGTGTGTAGTTTATATCTAAAAACTGATAATTTAAAAAAATTGGCTTATAAAGTATAAAGTAGATTGTTTTTTGTTATTTGCCAAAAAGATACGAATCAGTTTTAATGAAGTGGGTTATTTTTTGCAACTCAAAATTTGACATAATATGCATTGAAATTTCAAATTTGTTTTTGTTCCTAATACAATAATTTTTAAATTATTGGTCTAAAAATGTGAAAAATAAATTTATTGACGGGTGTAATTGAAAAACTTAACAAAACGTGAAAAAAGCCAAAGCTTATACGTTATTTTGAAAGATATTCATTTTACGGTATTCCAAGTTGTACAATGACAACTATAATAATATGTGCTTATAAATTTGTGGTTGATAAAAACCGGAAAGACAAAACGGTATTTTCGCAGGCGTTAGAGGCAGCTGATTGATGAACGTTACCCGGAGCCCGTGACCGTCACAGTAATAAATCATCTATACACAGTTCGTTTTTCAAAGCTTCAAGTTGTTCGGCCAATGTCGCCAGCCAGTCGGCTTGTTACTACACGGGAGGCTTTTGATATTTTTAAGTTTCTGACACATGCACATTTTTAGCTATGTTGTTTAAGAGTATCAATCACAACAATATCAAATTTATTACACGACGAGAGTTGAAGACTGCGTAATTATAAAAATAATTTTAAGTACACTTTTAATACAATATTGAATCTATCTAAATCATTTATTACATTTGTTGTTAAAGTAAAGCTTAATAAATATTTCATATTTACACATTAAGTATTTATTAAAAGTGTATATTTTTTATGTATGATATATTAAATGATATATTTTTTCTGTATGATTTTTATGATCTGTTCTTTAAGTTTTAATCAATATTAAACGATTTACGTCAAAATGTGTGATTTTCCAATGACAGAATGGTTATTCTCGAAATAAATAATTATCATATCTTATTAAATTATAATTATAGTGAAAACGCGATTATTTACTTAAAAAGAGAAAAAAACTATAATCCTTTATTTCTACGAAAAAGAAAATTGATACTATTTTAAATGTAAATCCGTATCACTATTTTTCGATCAGCATTACCATCACATCAATCTTATCTACTCGTTAGTGGTTCGTATTTACATATTGTCATGTTTGCACCAAGTCAGTCGGAATTTTCCATTACAATTTAAACGTTTCCTTGAAACGTGAGTTGTGTCAACAGCGTTCGACTGTTGTTGCAACTAAGAAACTGACAACAAGTCGTCCTGCCAATTGTCCTTTCACACCATCTAAGGTCTATTGTAAACTTTATGTTTAATTTTTTTTCTCACTTTATCCTTGCATGTATATATAGCTAAGAATAAAATTCAATTTGAAAATAATAAGCATTACTTCATGAAATTCATTTGAAAAGTTCTGTAGGATTTCTTAAATAAAAATAATTTAAAAAAATATTAGTCATGTTTGAACAGTTAACAGAATTAAGTATTGGTTTCTTAAATGAATAATCCGAGTTAGGATTGGTTCAAAAATTGAAAAAAAACATCGGGCCAAATTTTTTGTAAATCGAACTAGTATGATAAAATAAGTTGTCATATAATGAAATTAAACATGTGATTATAATCAATATCCAATTATAGTTCGTCTACAAAATTAAAAATTCGGTTCGGGTTTGATTTAACCATAAAAATCTGGGCTCGTAACATCACTACAAAATAAATATAATAAAAGGAATAATTTAACACATTTTTATTTAAAAATATATCATTAAATTTTTAACATGACCAAGACATCCGTTTCATCGGTAGTTTCCAAGCCTAATAGTCTGCGTAGTGTACGTTTACGTTTCTCAGATGAAGTATTATTCTTGTCAAAATTGGAATTTTGTGTATTAAACGTTTGATTTTTATGACAATTACCACACATTCGACAACTATTAAATTAAATAATTAAAAAAAAATGTATATTAACATATTTTATTTCAAATTACTATGTATAAAATCTATATAATTATAAGTTTATTATTTTTTTTAATAAGTCAAAAAAAAAAAAAATGTCATACTATAAACATCAATAATACTTCAAACTATAAATATTAAATAGTGATTTTTGTAGTAATTTATTATTTTAGATAATTCTATTAATTAATAACCATTAAAAAATAAATTCATATATATATATATACATATATTAATTTAAAAAAAATTATTTAATCAAATAAATTTTTTTTTGTAGTTACTTTATTGATGGTGATGAATTCAGAACAAATTTTTCTTCTCCTGCAACTAAATACATTTTACGTTGTGTTTCTTTTTCATTACTGTAATCACTTTTTCTATCATTATATTGATAATCACAATCATCAATATGCGACTCATCTTTATTCGTAATTCCTATTTGCTTGTTTTCTGTATATTTTTCATTTGAATTTGTAAACTTGATGTTATTTAACTTTTTGCATTTACATTTAGATTCACTTTTATAAATTTGATCAAGCTTATTATTATCGTAATTATTGTTTTCATCAAAACTCTCCTCATAATCCATTGGTGCACCTTCATTTTGTTCAATATTATATTGATTGGAATTGTCAAAGTGCTCCATTGATGTCTCTTTAACATTATGATAATGTAAATCATCATTTTCTATTTCATGTAATGTTTGTTCGATGCTTATAAATGTTTCATTTGATTTTGGAATAATTTTTTTACAGGTCATTGCACAATTTTCATGAATGGGATTGTTTTCTTTTTTATTAGGTTTCATCGTTCTGTATTAAAAAAACATATAAGCAACGTTAAATATTGACATTTCTACAGTTATAAAAATAGAAGGATTATATAAAAAAAAGTCCACTTAATACTAATAAAGAAAGAATATGAAATATATTTTTTTAATTCATGAGCTATTTTTAATAAAATTGTATTTGCCAATCGCAAAATAAAAAAGAAGCTATTTAGTTTTCCAAAAATGTTATTGATGTTATTTATTTCAAATATAAATGTTTATGTATTGCATTGATTTATGATAAAATTAGTATTTTACATATTATGACATACATTTTTTTTTAATTATTCACAAAAATGTGTATTATTTGGAAAATTTTTAATAATAATAATCCAGTAAATAAACTC